ATTGGATGACAGAGGAGTCACCCGGGCTTTTACAGGCCCCACCCTTTGCACAGGGCCCCAAACAGCAAATGGGCTAATGGGCGTGATTTTGGGGGGGGGGGCCGGGGATTTGGTTTTTAAAAGGGGAATGGGGGGACTTATTTTTCACACCCCACATTTTACCTCTCCTCTCATATTAGGCCCCATGAAATTTTTATGTTGTCTTTAGGGGAGGGGGGTTTTGGGGTTTAGATTCATCCTAGGCTCTAAGTGTTCCCCCTTGGGCCCAAAACATCTTTTTTAAATTCCAGGTTTTCCCAGATAGTCTGGCCATTGGTCGGGGGTTCCATCCTTGGGTGGGGTTTAAATCTTTCCAATTGTGACTTTTGGGGCAACCCCGAAATTCAAAAATTTTTAAATCTTTCCGACTTTCAAATAGTGTCAAATTCCACCCCATCAGTATTTTTTTTTCCCTACAGTACAACACTTTTTTGCCCCCAAACCCTCTTTTTCTGACTCCTTGAAACAACCTACCCCTTTAAAAAAAATTTTGCACCCAAAGGGCCCCCCCCACCCCCCCCGGGACTTTTTTTTTCCGCTAGGGTTTACATTGCTTGTGGGTTGTCGCCCTTTTTCTTTTGTTTTCCAAGAGTTGGGGGGGGAAGAAAGGGAAAAATTCGATTCGACTGATTCGGCGAATTCGTGGACAAATTCGATTTGAGTCGAAAAAAATTCGCTGGGGAATTTAATTTAAAAAAAAAGGGTGTTTCTAGGCTTCAGAGGCCCTTAATTTTTGGGGCAGAACACTTTCCCTTTTAAATTTTTAAATTCCCTTGGAGTCTGCGGGGAAAAGAAAAATAATACGGGTTCATCAGTATGACATGCAAAAATGATTTGCCGTCGATCTTAGAATCACCGCACACTTAAACCCCTTTTTTGGCCCCAGTCAGGGGGCCAAAAACCCCAGTGTTTGGAGCCAAAAAAGGGTGTGGCGGGGGAGGCAGCAGCAATGGGGGGCCCTACAAAAAACCTTTTGACAAAATGGAAACCGCGGGGAGTGTGAGGGACCTGAAAGTGGGACATGGAAAAGGTGGGAGCAATGGGGGGGGTTTTCAAGGACCCATGTCACATTTGTGGACCCAGCAGCGCGGGGGACGAGGGGGTTTTAGGGGGGGCCCAGGGGGGGGTTTTTGGGGCCGGGCCCCAGACCCTATGGGGGCCTGTAATCTCCCAAAGAAACCTATGAAAAAAAGGGAAAACCAGCGGGGAGTGTGGGGGAGCCCTGAAAGGGGGCACAGGGCCCAGATTTGGGGCAATGGGAGGCGGTACGGGAAAACCCAGGGTAAAAACTGGGGGAACCCGGGCAGCGGTGACCAGGGGTATGGGGGCCCATGGCAGATTCGGGCCCTGGCGCGAAATGGGGTCCCCTTTAATCTCCCAGAAAATTTTTGACAAAAAAAGGAAAACACACCGCAGTGTGTGGGGGGACCTAAAAGTGGCCATGGCAGAGTGTGGGTTTGGAGAAGCAGCTTTGGGGGGCCCGTACGGGAAACCATGAGGACTGGGGGGCCCGGCCCGGTTTGACATGAGGAGGGGTTTTTGGGGGCCCCAGGGCCCAGATTGGGGGCCCGGGTTTTTTAGCAGCTAAAAGGGGGCCCCCGTAATCTGGCACCCACCCTTGAAAAAAAAATTGAAACACCAGCATTTGGTGAGGAGACCTGAAAGGGGGCACATGGCATGGAGATTTTGGACCGGGCTGCAGAAATGAGGAGGTGGTATTTAGGGGCCCATGGGCAGATTGGGGGCCCGGGGAGCAGCTATGGGGGGCCCCGTAATTGCAGCACCCTATGTAAAAAATTGAAAAAAACAAGAAAGTGTGTGAGGAGCCCGGGAAAAGTGGCCCCATTTTTGGGGGCATGTTTTCATGGGGATTTAGTCAGTTGTGTCGGGAAAAAGGGTGGTTTGAAATCCAGACTAACCCGGGCCTGATTCATTTTCAAAAAAACGTGGGGTCTCCCCAACACTTTGGGTGGACAGTATTTGTCCTCCGGGGAGTTTGCAATACCCCCTGCCGCAAAAACCCCGCGTCCCGATCCCCGGGGCAAAATGGCCGGGTGACACCCTTTCGGGGCCCAAATTCAGGTAGTTGGGGCCAAAGGTCAATTTTCGTTGCCCAGTGTCAAGGGGATTGTTTTCCCGGTTGGAGGGTGCGTCCAAGTGGGCCCAAGCCTGTTGTTTGAGTTTTCCCCTGTCCGGTTTCCACCGGGTTGTGTGCTGTTTGCTGGGGTTGGTTAGTATTTTCCCCTAAATGCGCGGTGAAAAAAAGCTACTCATCATCGCTGCGACTGAGGCTCCCGCTGTGGGGGAAAGCTGCCACTGCCCCTTTACCACCCCCCCCTCCCCTGCTGCCATGCCAGGGGAAAAGCGGGGGCGGCCCACAGGGCCCCCTGTGTTGGGGATGACGTTGGCGCACAAAGGCCAGAGACCCGCAACATGACTACATAGGTGGTTTTTTTATAGAACGTTAATTTTGGGCCTCCCCTCTCAAGCAGCGTGATGAAAATACGGCACACCATTTTTGCAATTGGTAGCGAGGGTCCAAAAAACAAGGTGGACAGGCCAAAAGCTGACATCCCTCTGTCTGACTGGTTATTATTCGGCTTGCTCGCTACGCAAGCAAGGAACGAGCATGCTCGTGGGCTAATTTTGTGCCAAGGATTTATTGCAGGGGACTCCAGCCTCAATCTCCACAGCATACTCGTGTTTACCACGGTGCGTCTGGCGTCCTCTGTCTCCTCCTCCTCCTCTCTACCAGATGCTCCTGCTCCTCCACTCTGTCCCGCTGGGTGGATAACCTCACGCGGGTTGTCGAGCGTTCGCGAGAGTGGCTGGCGCACCAATGTCCTCCTCTACCTCCTCCTCTTTCTTCCTGTCCTGCCCCCACAGTGGTCATGTGGCAAGTTGAGATCTTTGGCAGCCACGTCTACCGCACCCTGACCAGCCATTGTTAAACAGCATTTGATTCCAGGGACGTTTGCAACCAGAGGAATGAGTCGGTCTCATTCCCATAGGCGCATGCCGACTCACGAATAGCGTGGCCTCCTCAAACGGGGCCGTGCCTGAGCAAAGCGGGCAAGGGTAGTCAAGCATGAGCTGGCCTATGGCTTGACATCGAAGGTTACCACAGGGGAGAACCTATTCTATCCGACTTTATAACATCAGGGGAAACGGTTCGTGATGGGCTCATTCGCTGTTCGTCGAAGGGCGGTCTACCCTTGGTGTGTAGGGTTTTTGAATTCCACCTTGTTGCAACGTCGCAGCATTCAGGCCGATGTCTGTGGAATTCGTTCCTGCGCGCTGCAGCATCCAGGAGGGTTGTTGACTTTGCGGTTGTAGTGCATGGCTGAAATGCTATGCAGTTTACGTGACATTTTAAGGATGTCTTTGCGTGGAGGGTGGATGATTAAGGAAACGTCTCAACCAGACCAGGCAGATTGAAACACGTGCGCATGTTGGGCGCATGGCAGACAACCCTTACTTGACGCTAGAGCAGACAACCATGTTCTTTCACGTTTGGTCGGTCAAACGGGTTCCGATTTTCAGTTTGCGCGGGGGAGTACAGCCATCTGTCCGTTTTCTTGTTCATACTAGGGACCCCCCTGAGTGACTACGTTCGCCATGGACCCTGGCAGCAGCATGATGGAGGAGTCGGTAACATATAGGGGCCCTATGGCAGATTAGGGGCTGGCAGCAGCGATATAGTAGGCCCGTAATCTGCCCGCTAGCACCCTATGACAAAAAATTAAACACACCAGCGAGTGTGTGCAGGAGACCTGAAAGTGGCACATGGCAGAGTGTGGCGATGGAGACAGCAGCAATGGGAGGCGGGTTACAGGGACCTATGACAGACACTGGACTGGCAGCAGCATGAGGAGGCGGGGTTATATAGGGGGGCCATGGCAGATTAAAGGGGCTCGGCAGCAGCAATGGGAGGCCCGTAATCTGCCAGCACCCTTTATGTCAAAAAAAATTCCACACACCTGCAGTGGTGAGGAGACCTGAAAGTGGCACATGGAGAGTGTGGCGATGGAGACAGCAGCAATCGGGAGGCCGTACAGGGACCCATGAGAGACTCTGGACCTGGCAGCAGCATGAGGAGGCGGTACATAGGGGCCCATGGCAGATTAGGGGCTGGCAGCAGCTATAGGAGGCCCGTAATCTGCCAGCACCCTATGTCAAAAAAAACTTCCACACACCAGCAGTGTGAGGAGACCTGAAAGTGGCACATGGCAGAGTGTGGCGATGGCTGACAGCAGCAATGGGAGGCCGTACAGGGACCCTATGAGTGCAGAGGACTCTGGACCTGGCCAGCAGCATGAGGAGGCGGTATAGGGGCCCATGGCAGATTAGGGCCTGGCAGCAGCTATGGGAGGCCCGTAATCTGCCAGCACCCTATGTCAAAAAATTCCAACACACCAGCAGTGTGTGAGGAGACCTGAAAGTGGCACATGGCAGAGTGTGGCGATGGAGACAGCAGCAATGGGAGGCCGTACAGGGGACCCACATGAGAGACTCTGGACCTGGCAGCAGCATGAGGAGGCGGTTTATATAGGGGCCCATGGCAGATTAGGGGCCTGGCAGCAGCTATAGGGAGGCCCGTAATCTGCAGCACCCTATGTCAAAAAATTGAACACACCAGCAGTGTGAGGAGACCTGAAAGTGGCACATGGCAGAGTGTGGCGATGGAGACAGCAAGCAATGGGAGGCCGTACAGGGACCCATGAGAGACTCTGGACTGGCAGCAGCATGAGGAGGCGGTTATATAGGGCCCATGGCAGATTAGGGGCCTGGCAGCAGCTATGGGAAGGCCCGTAATCTGCCAGCACCCTATGTCAAAAAATTCAACACACCAGCAGTGTGTGAGGAGACCTGAAAGTGGCACATGGCAGTGTGTGGCGATGGAGACAGCAGCAATGGGAGGCCGTACAGGGACCCATGACAGACTCTGGACTTGGCAGCAGCATGAGGAGGCGCGGTATATAGGGGCCCATGGCAGATTAGGGGCCTGGCAGCAGCTATGGGAGGCCCGTAATCTGCCAGCACCCTATGTCAAAAAATTCAACACACCAGCAGTGTGTGAGGAGACCTGAAAGTGGCACATGGCAGAGTGTGGCGATGGAGACAGCAGCAATGGGAGGCCGTACAGGGACCCTGAGAGACTCTGGACTTGGCAGCAGCATGAGGAGGCGGTTATAGGGGCCCATGGCAGATTAGGGGCCTGGCAGCAGCTATGGGAGGCCCGTAATCTGCCAGCACCCTATGTCAAAAAATTTCAACACACACCAGCAGTGTGTGAGGAGACCTGAAAGTGGCACATGGCAGAGTGTGGCGATGGAGACAGCAGCAATGGGAGGCCGTACAGGGACCCATGAGAGACTCTGGACCTGGCAGCAGCATGAGGAGGCGGTATATAGGGGCCTATGGCAGATTAGGGGCCTGGCAGCAGCTATGGGAGGCCCGTAATCTGCCAGCACCCTATGTCAAAAAATTCACACACCAGCAGTGTGTGAGGAGACCTGAAAGTGGCACATGGCAGAGTGTGGCGATGGAGACAGCAGCAATGGGAGGCCGTACAGGGGACCCATGAGAGACTCTGGACCTGGCAGCAGCATGAGGAGGCGGTATATAGGGGCCCATGGCAGATTAGGGGCCTGGCAGCAGCTATGGGAGGCCCGTAATCTGCCAGCACCCTATGTCAAAAAATTCAACACACCAGCAGTGTGTGAGGAGACCTGAAAGTGGCACATGGCAGAGTGTGGCGATGGAGACAGCAGCAATGGGAGGCCGTACAGGGACCCATGAGAGACTCTGGACCTGGCAGCAGCATGAGGAGGCGGTATATAGGGGCCCATGGCAGATTAGGGGCCTGGCAGCAGCTATAGGGAGGCCCGTAATCTGCCAGCACCCTATGTCAAAAAATTCAACACACAGCAGTGTGTGAGGAGACCTGAAAGTGGCACATGGCAGAGTGTGGCGATGGAGACAGCAGCAATGGGAGGCCGTACAGGGACCCATGAGAGACTCTGGACCTTGGCAGCAGCATGAGGAGGCGGTATATAGGGGCCCATGGCAGATTAGGGGCCTGGCAGCAGCAGCTATGGGAGGCCCGTAATCTGCCAGCACCCTATGTCAAAAAATTCAACACAGCAGTGTGTGAGGAGACCTGAAAGTGGCACATGGCAGAGTGTGGCGATGGAGACAGCAGCAATGGGAGGCCGTACAGGGACCCCCCATGAGACAGACTCTGGACCTGGCAGCAGCATGAGGAGGCGGTATATAGGGGCCCATGGCAGATTAGGGGCCTGGCAGCAGCTATGGGAGGCCCGTAATCTGCCAGCACCCTATGTCAAAAAATTTCAACACACCAGCAGTGTGAGGAGACCTGAAAGTGGCACATGGCAGAGTGTGGCGATGGAGACAGCAGCAATGGGAGGCCGTACAGGGACCCATGAGAGACTCTGGACCTGGCAGCAGCATGAGGAGGCGCGGTATATAGGGGCCTATGGCAGATTAGGGGCCTGGCAGCAGCTATATGGAGGCCCGTAATCTGCCAGCACCCTATGTCAAAAAATTCAACACACCAGCAGTGTGTGAGGAGACCTGAAAGTGGCACATGGCAGAGTGTGGCGATGGAGACAGCAGCAATGGGAGGCCGTACAGGGACCCATGAGAGACTCTGGACCTGGCAGCAGCAGCATGAGGAGGCGGGGTATATAGGGGCCCATGGCAGATTAGGGGCCTGGCAGCAGCTATGGAGGCCCGTAATCTGCCAGCACCCTATGTCAAAAAATTCAACACACAGCAGTGTGTGAGGAGACCTGAAAGTGGCACATGGCAGAGTGTGTGGCGATGGAGACAGCAGCAATGGGAGGCCGTACAGGGACCCATGAGAGACTCTGGACCTGGCAGCAGCATGAGGAGGCGGTATATAGGGGCCCATGGCAGATTAGGGGCCTGGCAGCAGCTATGGGAGGCCCGTAATCTGCCAGCACCCTATGTCAAAAAATTGAACACACCAGCAGTGTGAGGAGACCTGAAAGTGGCACATGGCAGAGTGTGGCGATGGAGACAGCAGCAATGTGGAGGCCGTACAGGGACCCATGAGAAAGGACTTGGCAGCAGCATGAGGAGGCGGTATGGGGCCCATGGCAGATTAGGGGCCTGGGCAGCAGCTATGGGAGGCCCGTAATCTGCCAGCACCCTATGACAAAAAATGGAAACACACCAGCAGTGTGTGAGGAGACCTGAAAGTGGCACATGTTATGATTCATGGCGGATTTAGTCAGTTGTGTCAGGAACTGGTGGTTTGAAATCCAGACTAATCCACGCCTGATTCATTTTCACAAACGTGAGTCTCTCCACACTTTGGGTGGACAGTCGTGTCCTCCGCGGAGTTACAATACCTCCTGCCGCACTAAACACGCGCTCCGATGCCACGCTACTGGCCGGGCATGACAGCCTTTCAAGGGCAAATTCAGCTAGTTGGGGCCAAAGGTCAAGTTTCGTTGCCCAGTAGTCAAGGGGATTGTCTACCTCGGTTGGCAGGGTGCTGTCCAAGTAGGCCCAAGCCTGTTGTTTGAGGTCCTGCTCCAGGTCCACCTGATGCTGCTGCTGCTGCTGCTGCGGCTGGTTAGTAGTTTCCTCACTGCGCTGGTGAAGAAAGCTACTCATCATCATCGACTGCAGACTGAGGCAGCCGCTGCTGGTGGAGCTGCCACTGCTCCTACCACCCCCCACCCCTCCCCTGCTGCCATGGCAGCGGAACGCGAGCGCACAGGGCCCACAGTGTCTGAGGATGGACGTTGGCGCACAAAGGCAGAGACCAACTGACTACATAGGTGGTTTTTATAGTACGTTATTTTGGCCTCCCTCTCAGCAGGTGTGAAAAAGGCCACCATTTTTGAACGGTAGCGAGGGTCCAACAAGGTGGACAGCCAAAAGTCATCCCTCTGTCTGATGGTTATTATTCGGCTGTCGCTACGCAAGCAAGCGAGCATGCTATGGGCCATTTGTGCCAAGGAATGCGAGGGACTCCCTGCCTCCATCTCCACAGCATACTGCCACGGTGCGTCTGGGTCCTCTGTCTCCTCCTCCTCCTCCTCTACCAGATGCTCCTGCTCCTCCACTCCTGTCCGCTGAGTGGAAAAAACCACCCATTTCACTCAATAATTCCTGAGCACAAATGTCCTCCTCTACCTCCTCCTCTTCTTCCTGTCCTGCCCCCACAGGGGTCATGTGGCGTTGAGATCTGTGCGCCACGTCTACCGCACCCTGACCAGCCATTGTTAACAGCATTTGTTCCAGGACGTGCAACAGAGGAATGACGTCGTTCATCCCATAGTCCTGCCGACTCACGAATAGCGTGGCCTCCTCAAAGGGCCTGAGCAAGCGGCAGGTGTCACGCATGAGCTGCCAATGGCTGACATCGAAGTTACACAGGGGAGTACCTTTATCCGCTTGTAACATCAGGAAATCGGTGATGGCCTTTCGCTGTTCGTAAAGGCGGTCTAACATGTGTAGGGTTGAATTCCACCTTGTTGCAACGTCGCAGATCAGGCGATGCTGTGGAATTCCGTTCTGCCGCTGCAGCTCAAGGAGGGTGTGCTTTGCGGTGTAGGAATGGCTGAAATGCATGCAAAGTTTACGTGACATTTTAAGGATGTCTTGCAGTGGGATGGTGGATTTTAGGAACCGCTTGACAACCAGATTGAACACGTGAGCCATGGCATGGCGCATGGCACAACCTTCCTTGACGCAGAGCAGACACCATGTTCTTTCCGTTGTCGGTCAACATGGTTCCGATTTTCAGTTTGCGCGGAGACAGCCATCTGTCGATTTCTCTGTTCATTACACTCAGAAGTTCCTCCCCTGTGTGTGACTACGTTCGCCAAGGCATACCCAGGTGCAGCACAGCGTGACACCGTTGCGCCCTGCACATGTGATATGCCGGTCGGGTAATGGGACTTGGCACGGGGGTGGGGTGGCGGCTGAGGACACGGCGGAAGAAGAGGTGGTAGAGGCGGACATCTTTTGCCGGACCAAGGACGTGCAAACGTGGAGGCAAAAGCGGCGTGACCTGTCCAAGTTGCTGGTGCGGCTGTGACGGCACCACGTTCACCCAGTGGGCCGTAAATGACATGTACTGTCCCTGACCGTAGTTACAGCTCCACACGTCGGCGCTGCGCTGCCGTGCACTTTGGCAGAGACCGACATGCTCAAAGACTGGCCCACCATGTCTTCTACATGTGAATGCAGGGCTGGCACTGCCTTTTTGGCGAAGAAATGACGGCTTGGCACTCTCCACCGCGGCGCGGCACAAGCCATCATTTCTCGGAAAGGTGCTGAGTCCACCACTTGGAAAGGGAGGGACTGCAGCACCAGCAACAACTTGGACAGGAGGACGTTCAGCTTTTGCACCGTCGGGGTGCGTGCTCGCAAACTGTTGTCTCTTGGAAACGGATTCCAAGAAAGACTGCTGACGGAATCCGTGAAGAGGAGTAGCAGGAGAGAAGGAGCATCTGAACGAGCGGAAGATGCCAACGAGCGACAACTCCCCTCAGCAGAGGTGTTGGAGCCTTGACTGGCTGATGGAGGGCGATTGACGTCGGGTGACGGAGCAAGTAACGGAGCGGGTGAGGGTGATGGAGCGGGGGCTGGGGCGGGCAGAACCGCCGTATCTTTATCACGGTTTTCCCAGGCCACCAAAATGGCGACGCTGCATATGCTGCCGCAACGCTGTAGTCCCAACATGGGCCCCCTGGCCACGCTTGACTTTCTGGCCACATAGTCGACATACGGCTACGTTTACTTCCTCGGGCGGCTTGACGAAAAATTGCCACACCGCCGAGTAGGAAACTTTGCCCCCGATACTCCTCACTGGCTGACTGCTGCTTCCTCCGTGCACACCGGCACCACTACTGGCCGTGGTGGTAGGCTGCAGTGGAGCTGGTGCTCTACTCCGTGGCCGTTTGGCTCCACTGACACTGCTGCGACCCTGCTGCTGTCTCCTGGGCAACCCACTGACTGTTTCGCTCGCTGCCAAGCTGCCACCCTCTTCTCCTGATGATGCGGAAGAAATTGCCTGATGACGACGAGGCTGCCAAGTGCGATCAACCTCCTCATCATCAAAGTAGGGTCTCCGCCTCACTACTAGCCCCCTCGGCTGCGTCTGGGTCAGGAGACAGACCTGTCTCTAGACCGGCTACCGAGCCACTCTCCTCGCCACTACTTCTTCGCCTGGCTGCTGAAAAGGCGGATGTCTCCCCCCGTTCCTGACCGCCCTCTGTTAGCTCTTCCTCACTGTACAGTGGGGCTGAGCCCACAGCATGCGATACTTCGCTTGGTGGTGAGGGAACACCAAAGGACAGGGGCAGGTAGAGGACACGTGATTTCAGTGGGCTTGGTCCCGGGCCATGCCAACTAACGGTTGTGTGTCTGACGTACCCACCGACCGTTGGCTGTAGGTGTCAGAGGTGACCTGGGAAGAGGAAGACGACCGAGCCAACCAATCGATGACGGCAGGCAGGGTTGTCGGTGGAGACACGACCGCTGGATGACACCGGGAGCACTGGCCTCTGGCTGCGAATAGTGTGCTGCCTCGACCCCTTCCTCTGCTGCCACGTCTGCTCGCTCCTAAAACATTGCCTCCTCTGCCACTGCCTCTCTCATGTTGTCTGACATACTCTTTAATTCAACGATTCTGTGTCCCTGAGTAACAATTCTGTGTCCCTGAGTAACAATTCTGTGTCTGTCCCTGAGTAACAATTCTGTGTGGCCCTAAGTAACGGTTCTGTGGCCCTCAGTAACAATTCTGTGTCCCTCAGTAACAATTCTGTGTCTGTCCCTGAGTAACAATTATGTGGCCCTAAGTAACGGTTCTGTGTGCCCTCAGTAACAATTCTGTGTCCCTGATGTAACGTTTATGTGGCCCTAAGTAACGGTTCTGTGGCCCTCAGTAACAATTCTGTGTCCCTCAGTAACAATTCTGTGTCCCTGAGTAACAATTCTGTGTCCCTGTGTAAACAATTCTGTGGTCTGTCCTCTGAGTAACAATTCTGTGGCCCTAAGTAACAATTCTGTGTGGCCCTCAGTAACAATTCTGTGTCCCTGAGTAACAAATTCTGTGGCCCCCTAAGTAACAGTTCTGTGGCCCTCAGTAAACAATTCTGTGGCCCTGAGTAACAATTCTGTGGCCCTAAGTAACAATTCTGTGGCCCTCAGTAACAATTCTGTGTCCCTGAGTAACAATTCTGTGTCTGTCCCTAGTAACAATTCTGTGGCCCTAAGTAACAATTCTGTGGCCCTCAGTAACAATCTGTGGCCCTCAGTAACAATTCTGTGTCCCTGAGTAAACAATTCTGTGGCCCTAAGTAACGGTTCTGTGGCCCTCAGTAAAATTCTGTGTCCCTGAGTAACAATTCTGTGGCCCTAAGTAACAATTCTGTGGCCCTCAGTAACAATTCTGTGTCCCTGAGTAACAATTCTGTGTCCCTGAGTAACAATTCTGTGGCCCTAAGTAACAATTCTGTGGCCCTCAGTAACAATTCTGTGTGTCCCTGAGTAACAATTCTGTGGCCCTAAGTAAACAATTCTGTGGCCCTCAGTAACAATTCTGTGTCCCTGAGTAACAATTCTGTGGCCCTGAGTAACAATTCTGTGGCCCTAAGTAACGGTTCTGTGGCCCTCAGTAACAATTCTGTGTCCCTCAGTAAACAATTCTGTGTCCCTAGTAAACAATTCTGTGGCCCTAAGTAACGGTTCTGTGGCCCTCAGTAACAATTCTGTGTGTCCTGAGTAACAATTCTGTGGCCCTAAGTAACGGTTCTGTGGCCCTCAGTAACAATTCTGTGTCCCTGAGTAACAATTCTGTGTCTGTCCCTGAGTAACAATTCTGTGGCCCTAAGTAACAATTCTGTGGCCCTCAGTAACAATTCTGTGTCCCTGAGTAACAATTCTGTGGCCCTAAGTAACGGTCTGTGGGCCCTAGTAACAATTCTGTGGCCCTCAGTAACAATTCTGTGTCTGTCTAGTAACAATTCTGTGGGCCCTAAGTAACAATTCTGTGGCCCTCAGTAACAATTCTGTGTCCCTGTGTAACAATTTCTGTGTGTCCCTCAGTAACAATTCT